CGACATTAAATAACTGTTTGAGTTTCACAAAACAGTAGATGATACATTCTCGTCTACAATTCAAAAATGGCTGTTGAAATAATAAAACAAAATAGAGTTGACCATTAATAAGTAAATTATGAAGACTGTGGAATGAACCACGCGAACAACTTTATCAGTATCATGACAACTTCTGTTTACCAAATAGGATATGATCTACTTCTCCGTATTCAGTTCACATCAAATTCTGGTAATCATGACCATAAACGAGAGAAATACTAATTTGATTTTTGAAAGATGTTTCCAATTCTGTTACCCAACCTAAAGGAGTCATACTACTTAATATAGATACTCAGTAACATATTTGGCCAACAGTTAACAGGATACTATCGTTCGTTCTTATTAGTATTTAATTTTAAGGCGCTCCCACTAACCATTTTATGGATTCTCTTTTAATCTAATCATTTTGGTAAGTACCACTTCGTATATCTATCATCATAAAACCATTGAAACATTCAACAATTAATTGAAGACGAGATTTATGGACTTATTTATCTTTCTCAAAATCATTTTTAATTAAAATTTAATTCCTTTTAGTAATTTGATTAGTCCGTTTCCCTGCAACATACATATATACACACATAAACATGTACACAAAGATGTTTTAATTACCAGTATCTTATAAAACAAAAATAGACATTTTACCATTGTTTATGTTAAATTTAATTTTAATTTTCTCGTTGATTGATTAAGTCGAAATGTCCCACTTCTGTTGACATGTCGACTCATAGTACGGACGTTTACACAATGGTTGAGGATTAACTTGAAGTTATTTGGCGGATAGTAACTAGCCGTGTAGCCATTATGTAAATAGAGGCCTAATATATTCGGTCCAATCGAATTAAAAACAAATAACAAGTGATAACCGTTGTACAAGAGGTGGCTGTCCTAGCCCAAATGGTCTTGTGGATATCACTTAGTCTTTCAAAGCAATGGAGACTTGGTTCGAATCTCCATGGGAACACTATCGCTCACTGGAGAATATAGGTACACCCAGATGACGAGTCTCAGAGTGGATGAAATGCTCATCCTAAATTTCATCTACTAAATTATTTCATCAGTGTACTCTTTTGTATTTCATAGCTGGATGCATGAGTGATTCGGTGAGATTACATATCGTTGAAAGGGTTGGAAAAGTTTAATATTGTCTTTCGTACTCAGGGTACTGTTTGTGTTTGGATTTTTCTTAAAAACATCTGAAAACTAGTACATATGTGTCTCTTTACTTACACGGATAACATAAAGACGAGAAAATAAGATACATCACTTGTCTCTTTAGCTGTATAATCGCATTTACACTTTTAAAAAAAAATGAGTTCATCGAAAAGTCTCTTCACTGAAGTATGTGTTTCATGAACATCATGTGTCAGCTCTGATTCATTGAAACTGTTCAAATATGTTTTGTTCATGATGATTCACTTCGGTTAATTGCATATTGTTTCCATGATTGCTGATACAGGAAAGTCTAATCCCAACTGCGATATGTAAGATCACTTCCAAATGAAATAGTTCTGTGGAAAAGTATGGGCACTCTGACTGTATTCCTGAAAATGCTTATAACCCATAGTCAGAGACTTTACACACTATGGTGCTGATGTCATCTCAGTGAAGCGTCTTCTACCTTCATCTTCTTTTATTTATTTTTTCTCCCTTATTCAGTTTACTATTGTCAGTATTGTTTCTCATTATGTTTTGCCTACCTTGTACTGTCACAATGTGAAGTTCAGATGATATTAGATCAATAAAAGTCAACAGGAAGACAATTTTTGTCAATTTCACTTAGTCTTTAGCATTCTTGTTTTATTAAGTATTACAAGATTTCAGAAATTAACGTTGTATTTGAAAGTATTCGTATATTACTACCAGCGTGTTTGTTTCAAAAATTTCTTCCACATTATAAGGTCGGAATAAGGACACATTACTCGTATACATTATTTTGTTTATCTGGTTACGTGTTAAGGCAACTGGCATTTCAGATTATTTAACCAGCACAGATATCATCGTACATGCTACAGGATTTATCTTCTTCACTTTGTAACTGGAAAACACTTTTTATTGTATATTTTACTTTTACTTTACAGCATTAATTTACGCCATTATTTTACGTGAGTGACCCCTATCTATGTGTTATTTTCCTTTGAAATAATCGATTCATATTTATAACTATTCAGTTTCAACTTTGGTACGAATGACCTCACTAAATTATTTATTTTTTTCAACTGAACATTTATTAAGGACTAGTAGTGCATTGATTTGTTTTAAAAATATTTATATTTAAATGCCAGGACAATTTAAATTTAGATATTTTTGAGAGTGAAAACAAGTATCTGCAAAACTTGTTAAGTCTCAGCTGTGACCGATGCCTGTTTCTTCACAAGAACTGAATTTCATTCACCCTAACAAAAAAACACTATGATATGAAATTCTAGGTTCCTAAATTAGTTTAACTGCCTGTGTGGAGGTAGTGTACGATCAGGCGAGTTCATCGTCGAATTTCTGAACACCTCCCATCTTGGTTAGGCAAAGGTTCGAATAAAGCTATACGCAACTCAGTACTAGCTGATTTCGTCGATACCGAACATCAAATCGACTCTAACAAAGCTTTTAAAGTTATTTATCGTATATCACCTAACCTCTCGTATAGTCTACGAGTACGACTTTTTCATACAGCAGAGGCAATCAGTATTCAAAAGAAATTTGTACAGTCCCTTTCTTTGCCACGGCCAACTACATAGTATGTATTAAGTTTTTAAAAATGATTTTTCCCCTCCCCTTGTAAATATCTTTTGACTTTGTTAATTTTTACAATTTTTAAAATTCTAGCTAATTCTATTAACTTGTTTGTATTTCACGTAACTTCTGAGTCATCCTATTCTTCTTAGTCATCATTGCTATTTTACAAATTTCTTGATTATGTAAAAACTTGTTGACAACGCCTAAGAATCAGCCTATCTTGAATTCCTTAATTAATTTTCACCCCTCTTTTAAAACTTAGATATCTGTTTACTAGCATCTACTAGTTGTTTGTTTTGATGACCTTTAACCTCTTAATTTCACCCCCGCCTATGCCTAATACTGATTAACTATATACAATAGACCTGATTTGTTCAGACATTGATCACATAACTTCCTATTTTTTTCTTTTTTGCCGTTTCACTTCTACTCTTTTTGACACTGAATTTAACTTGACCTTCTTTGAATTTTAGCTAAACCCTACACAACTTCTGTTGATCATGTTATGTCACACAGTTGACTTACTTAATTTTGCTTTACTCCTTACATGATTAGTGTTTCTGTATTGCCTGATTTTTTTGTAAAACCAAACATTCTAGTGACACGATTTTGGAAACATGACTTTGTTGACATGATCATGCATTATGTATATGACATTGTACAGGCTGAGAATGATATCGCTTAAAAAATTAACTCGTCGCTATAGCCTCTTGTTTTAATTTACTGAATATCGACAAAGTGTAGTCCATATGATTTCAACACGCCCTTCTCATAATACTAATGTAGAAGATATCATGACTGTCTCAGTATCATAATACGGGGGTATTATCTGTGAAAAGAAAAGAAGAAAACAAAAAAGAATCCTTAAGAGGAGTATAGAATTAGCTAATAAGGATTAACCACTTTAAATAGACAACAGTGAATAACACTCAATAGAAGTAACATTCATAATAACCACATCATTGACTTCTTACCGAAAAGTTAAGTGATCTGTATAAAATCTTATACTTATTTGCACTAATGAATAGTTAAAATGTATAGCAGTAATAAACAGATGCTAGTCTCTGGCTACTGGACATAGTCATATGAAGTCTTTATAGAAAAGACGTAAAACCCTGAGCTAACAGAGAGAGAGAGAATTATGTAGAAAAAATCAAATGGTTAATAGTATGTGTACTACTATATATCTACTATTTTGATGTGTGCTATTAGCTATGCGAAGTAGTGAGTCTATACCATGTACTTATGTTAAAACAGAGTTCATTATTAAGCGCTGGATTTCAGGCAGTTTCCTTCTCTATCTATGTCGAAGTCATACAGTACTATCCCATAGAGAAGTCTGGTTCTTATGTGTCCCCACCATCAGATTCGCTAATCAGCAGTCATCACCCTCACACTTGTCATAGAAAGAAAGTATTATCCAACCAATCGCTGAAACGACAATCAAACTGCAAAATATCTCATAGCTAAACCTGATCACTCACCAGAAGTATGTACACTAAACAGAAAATGTTTATAAGCTGAGGGAAGCCTGTTTTTTGTTCAGTTTCCCTTAATCTATTAAAATATGATTTCTAATGGTGTTTTCTACACTTGTGAGCACTGAAAATGTCTACCACCTCATGATTCACAGGTGTATACTAAATCTGAGACAAAGCAAAATCGTAAGTTCCAACTTATCCTAACACATGAGATAACTATTCCTGAGATTTTTAGTACAAACTACTACTACTTGGGGAATAAAACTAATTCTTTGCATTCTTCAATCATTCTTGGATCGAAAAATCTAGTCCAACACCTTTTTTTAACTGGCTTTCACCCAGATGCTGTGCATTTCTCGAAGATGGCAAAGAAGAAATATCATAAAGTTTTGGTTTTTGCTTCAGGTCAGACAGCAATGTATCACACAGTCTACTGTCAGTTACTATTTTATCTGGAGATCCTGGAGAGACAGAAACTGTTATGCAACAATTTCCAATGAAAATCCTGTACATAAATAATATAAACACTGTTCAGAATAAAGCAGTTAACAATTATTAGTATTATCTTACCCGATTTCAAGATGTCCCCAAATCATCCTAACAGAATGTGACCAGTTTAAATGAATAACTCTTTTGATCTTGTAATCCCCAAATGGATTTGTCCTTAAAGACACGAATTTTTCAAAATTTGGACTTATTTTGAAATATAATTTAAATCTGTTATTTTTGTTTCTTGTTCATTCACAGAATCCAAGTGAATCCGATTCCACACAAATAATCTCAAACATTTCAGACAACTCAGTTACCTACATCTCCCGAGGATTACAAATTGTTGATTACTTGGAGGATGATCTTTGGGCTGCTACTATTTTACAATGTGATAACAGCTGTAATTCAGATTTACTTAGACAACTAGAAGCTGGATGTCGGTTAGAACCGGAGGCTTATAGGATGGAACGTGTACAAACTGTGAAAAACCGTGAAACTGTTATCGACTTTCCTGGCAAACCAACAGTCAGAACGATAGGTTTAAGTCGAACTACAAGTGAGACAGATTCAATTGCTACAGCAGTTACTGGAATAGATTTAGATGCTGAATCGTAATCGAAATAAATTGCAACTTCACAAACATATTTTTTAAATTGTATTTTTACTACTTTCAAGTAGTCAAAAGAAATATGTAAATTTTTATGAAACTGACAAGACCATGTAGAACACTCAACTAATCTTGTAGTGCATACATCCCTAAAATCCTTGAATTATATTTTGCTTTACATAGATTTCATTAAACTGAGCATATATATTCCATACATTCAAGTTTTAAATCACTTGCGGTGCCGATTGATTGTGAAATGGAACTTATTCGCAATGAAAGCGTATACATCGATAAAATTAATAAATAAAAGCTACTATAACATAGGCGACGAAACAAATAACTTGATATATTCTAAAAGCGAGGGTGAAAAGAAAATGCTACATTGTTAAAACTGATTATTTTGAGCAGAATTAGTCATGTGTTTATTAAAACGATTGATTGTCGAATTTTCTTTCCAAAGTTATGCATTAATATGTCTGTAGTCTGTTGTAGTAGCCAGCCGAAATTCGCTGTGTTTCATTGGTCGTAGTACTCAGCTGATTAACTCGATTGTAAATGAGCAGCCTACTTATTCTAAATCATGAAAAAATTTGGCTGGTGTATGTGATTTATGAGTAAAATGTACAGACAAATTTATGTTGAGACAGGATTGATTATTTGAAAGTAAGGAGAAAGGTGAAAGATTTCCATACCATTGACTGATTCATCCCCACAATGGGGGTTCATACTTCAAAATAAATCTATTTGGGAGTTTCATAAGCCTTATAACTCGATTTTATGTATTTTCATTCCTTATAAGTGTTATTTGTGTCTACTACTAAGATACGCAAAGGAGGAAAGGTGAAGTTAAGTGTGCGGTTCACTAACTTGCGACTCCTAGAAGCATTTCCGAAAAGTTCCGTTTAGTTTTCACAGGAATTATCCGCATTTCAAGAGATAATGTATCGAGAAATGTTAACCAAACTGCTTCAAATTTGGAGTGTTTCTTTTCAATTAAGTTATTGTGATACTATATGAGCACTTCAGCTGTATGCTTCAATTCAGAATGTTTCCGATGCGAATTCATTTCTGTGATACGGCGTTTAATAATTAACATGCATCAAACCAGCATCAATAACTAACTTGGCTTGTAAAAATATATCACAGTATGCCTCCAGGTCTAGTAAAATTTTACTTATTGATAGCTCAGTATAGTGCTGTTTCGATAAGTGAGCCAACATTCTTTGCAGGATATCTTCTGACGACATTATCTGAGTTTGAGAAATTATTATTTCAGTGAAGGGATAAATACTACGAAGCACCATTTACAAATTCGTTTCAGTTTATTATTCACTTCCACTCTTTGAAAATGAATTGAGCCAACTAAGTATGCGTTGAAAAACTGCTGCCTCCACAAACAACTATTGGAAATGAATAACACAGAAAGCAAAGGTTATATCAAGTTCCAAGTTTTGTAGTAGTTTACAATGTTTGAATTCTACATCGAAGTGCACTATGTTACTTCAGATTTGTTCTGGTTGGCACAGTGTGTCAGTATTCTCCCGGCTCATTATTCACCAACCATAAGCAACCGCGCCAAATGCAATACAACAAAAGATAGAGGTTGTCCTTTCAGCCAGGTATAACGGTAGTGAACAGAGTGCGATGGAGACGTGCTGTTGAAGCTCTACGCTCCACTTGAGACTCCGGGAAAGAATAATAATAACTACCTATTGAAGGACACCTTTCAGATCCCGAAATCCATACCAATCCTAATGACTAAGAAATTTCATTCCAGTTCGAAGGCGGCTCACATTTTTCTTAACTGAAGTAATTATCAGAAATTACACTGTGAAAGATTGGAATCAGTGACTGAAGGGGAAGATGAATCATAGAGTTATTCACAGTAATCTTAGTTGTGTTTTGTTAATTTCTACATTATTCTATCGGGATTAGGTTTTTCCCAGCTAAGGTTTTCTGTTTCCCCCTACTGCATTAATGAAATCTTGGAATTATCAAGCAAATTCTCAAATCGTACTCATTTTCATCAGTGATTACACCATATGCTGTCTTTAGCACCACCCATTTTAAGACAAAATGATGTTACGCGAATTTTTGGTGCGATCGAATTCTTCACTTATGCTGACTACAGCTTCAAAACCGAAAATAGTGAATCAGCACTGATGCTTGGCATTGAGTGTTAATCATTATTGTTTTACTGAACTTGTTTAAATTAGGAAACTGAGTGAAGTGACAATCCTACTTCCAATTGCTTTTGCATACATATCGGTTCATTGAAACCTCTGCTAAAATATACATGAAGTTATGGGATATCAGACAGTTTTTGCTGCGTGGTCTAGATAAAAACATCGTTTTCACACTACTCAGATAGAATAATAATCGATTCATTTCACACAGATCGTTAGTGAATGAGAATAAGGTTCACTTTCATGCAGCTTTCTTTTTACTACAGTGCTATCCTGGCACGATCATCAGGGAATAAATTGTCTGAAACAAGTAGCTCTGAAATCTTATCTCGACGTAACATCCTGCGTCCCCATGAATTAGCAAAATTATCTGCCTTCTTCATGGAATCTTATCGGATAACTTTACCTCAACTCTTGTGAAACTAGAAATTAGATAGCCTAAAAACGATTAACTTAACTCAGCTCCCCAAGGAACAGAATAAGGAATTTAAATTTAGCCAGGAGAAAAACTTAAGCATGATTAATACACTACATAATACTATGTCATAATGACAGAAAGTCAAGTTGTAGTTAAACTGGAATCCTTGAAGTTGCTTCTTTTAATGCAGATATCAACAATAAATGCTGTGTGCATGAATAAACACTTTGGAACAGAATTCTTCTGTAGAAATACAACAGTTATTATTCTTTCTGTCTTCATGTAATACTCACCCAATGGTGTCAGCTTGCTTAATCTATATTTTAATTTCAGCGTCATCACAGCTATGAAATACTAATACCACAAACTCCGTTAGAAGTTATTTATTCCAGCAAGATATAGCATTCTGAGAGCCTGATCGCTTTTACCTGGTTACTTGACTAAGTAGAATATGTTATACATGGAAGTGACTGTAGTTCATCTCAAAGTACCCTTTGATTTTACTTGATTAATCAATAAAACTTGCGGATGATGAGAAATAATACAGCTTTCAAGACCTCCCAATGTCTTGGCTCAATTTGTCCAGGGAGGGTTGCGTTGACGTGGTAAATTTCTCTAATAGTTTCTCTTTCTTTAAACCTATATAAATTAGAGTCATCTAGGATTGTGTTTCAGAACAATTACCTTTCATTCGAAATGAAAAAATGTACCTAGTGATTAGGTTTTACATGCTAAGTCTTTTGGGCAATGATTTGAAGATTTATTCTGAATGACAACTAAAGGATGTTCCACTTAGATTATAAATGAACTTATGAGTATGTTTATGCCTAGAAAAGTTTGTTTTAACTGGAATTCTGGACTGGAATAACTTCCACTCTTATGTCGAAATGAACTTTGGAAAATAACCTTCATCAGATATTAACCTACCTGAAGGACGCTGACTCAGCATATTCCGAAATTCTAATGCTTACAAAGTATATGCAATTTCTGGTTTCCAAATGAAGGTAATTCACCTATTTTCTACATAGAAGCTTACAAACTCCTGATACCGTACTTCGTTGTTATGAATCTATGATTCTCTTAAAACGGGCTGTGCTACTAACTCTAGTAACAAGGAAGGATATGTAATATTTAGGTTGAAAATCTTTAAAGTATAATCAATGGGTGCCCATTAACCCAATAATTAAAGACTCACTCTAGAGACCTAGTTTCAGGTACTTAGAATGAAAGAAATTTGTACAGGATTTCTAAAGTTAAACCAACAATAGAGACCGGGCATTTTGGCCCAGCATAATCCATCAACAGGAAATGCAAAATTAACCCAATAACTTGTTTTATGGAAATCTCAGACATAGCTGCTCTGCTGCTTTCATCAATTAGATCTTTGCATTTAGCCTGAGAAAATACGAACACCTCAAATACCACTTGAAGTTACAATCAAAGTGGCAAATTATACAGAGGGAGAAATTCGACTTTCACCACGCTCATATCCATCTCTTACCTAATTTTAAAGCTTCCCAAATGAAATCATCCAATGTAACGACATCTACTGACTCATATTTCCAGTTATTTATACCGTATCATTGTATGTTATATCAAATAAGCTTTGGTATACTGTCTTATAATTCAAAGAGACCTCTTAAAAGATATTTTACAGAGAAAAAAGATTTGAAAGAAGCATAATCTATTACTTTTATATAACAGAAAATGTTAAACTTTTTCTGAACGGTGGCTTCATCCATGCTCGCTGTTTTCCTAAAAATCTCATGCTTTGTATATGCGAGTAGTGAATGCTTTTTAATTTCCAATGAGATATTTACTTACTGCTCTTGTGCTTGCAGCAACAGATTATTAACTGTTTTAATTATGCAAGTTCACATTGGAGGAATCTGAGTGACTGACTGACTGGCTGGTTTCAACTTAGGACTTTGCAAAGATGTGCAGCAGTTCGAGTTGCCACACTCCATGTAACAAACAAAGCAAGAGAAGAGAGTTAGTAGAGATTCAAAGGAGAGATAATAAAAAGAAGTGTGAGTGAGGCAAAAAGAACAATAGAATGGAAGAACCATAGAATTTTATTGGATATGATAAATCGCAAGGAGTGGATGCACCTGCGCCATTGAGCCATATCACCAATTGTCTCCAGCTGTTATTGGTTTTTACCATCCCGAGGACCCCAACCAGTCAGGTAGTCTACACCTCCTCAAGTGGTTGGCTCGAACTAACTATTGTGGATTTCACCGAATGATGAAGCTATGTTTCTTTTTGACCACCAGTGGCTCTTTTCCAACCTGATCAGTCCTATGTCAGCCAGCATTGTCCGTCGAGGAAGACGATGGCTAGGCATGCGTAGCACATGTCCTAACCATCTCATTCGATGTAGTTTCACAACCTAGTCGACTGACATCTGAATGATACCACAGTTAAATGACATTCAAATCCATAAACTCACTCAGAGATGCGCTTGGTTAACTTAAGACTTCTAGTGACCTGATTCAACAAATAAATGCATGTTAGTAGATAGCAGTGATGACTGTGATTTCAAATACTTCAGTTAAATCAGACAATGTAGGATATAGATACCAATTAGATGAATGACCTAAAGAATGTCTTCTATAACTATTCGTGCTGTGACAAAGAGTTGCCTGGAATTCAGTAATACTCCTAAATGTTAATT